ATTAAACTTCTGCTGTCCGTGGTGCTGAAGCTCTGCAGCTTGTTGTACTTGTTGAGTCTCGAATCAAATCAGGCCTGAAACCTTCTTCCTGCAAGACTCTGAGTTAGATTTCTTATTCTGTAGCTTCTCACTTTTGAGCTGCTGTAATTATTTTCTGCTGAGTTCAGTCTGTGCTTTTGTGGAACCTTGTTTAAGTCTGATTGAGAGACTAAAACCCAGATCTGTTCCCTGTCCTTTTGTTTCAATCTTGGGTCCACATTTCCACTGATAACGTAGTAAAAACACAGGAGCAGAACACACGAGGCAACACTAGATTTTTAAAAAATGATTTACTAAGCTCAACGCCAAAATCCAGTTCATTAAATGCAGTCGTCTTTGGGGAGCCTTTGGGGAAATATTCAGAGAAGGTTCCTTGAAGAGTCAGAAAACAGTAACCTTATGGGAACATTACTTGAAGGTTACCCGGTTTTCTGGTTCCCTGATCAAACCAACACTGATCATAGGGGAGCCTTCAGGGAACACGAGAGAAGGTTTTGAGGGAACATTAGAGAATGAGCTGAAGGTTTTCTGGATATTACTGTTTGTTTTTGGGAATGTTCTGTGACAATTCAGCAAACAGTAACTTTCTGGAAATTTTCCTTTTAAAATCACCTTCAGGGAACATTCAGAGACGTTGATATGGCAAACTTTTAGGGAACATTCCCAACATTTTCTTGTCTGATGTAACAAACTGTGACAGCGTGCTGGAATATTTCCCATGAGAGATGTAACTGAGATACGGATTAAGTTAAATTGTTTACTTGGTCGCTTCTTCAAAATCAGGTCCCACCGAGATTTGAACTCGGATCGCTGGATTCAGAGTCCAGAGTGCTAACCATTACACCATGGAACCCCTGACGGCCGGTGCTGCGTTCACAGACAACACCGGTACGTAGGAAATGCCACAATGAAGCTATTTATGAGTTATACATACTGTTAAGACATACACTTTAATAAACAAATGACACTGGATGGGGCTACTCAAACATACAGTAAAAGTGGAATAATAGTTGGTTAATTTTTTATTTTTTTTTAAAGAGGCAGAACGAGTTTATGAATAGGAAGACAGGTTTCTTTAAAAAAAAGATATATATTTGGACGGAGCTCTGTTTATCACCTTGCATTCATTTGGCAAGAGTGATTTCTTTTCCATATAATGAATTCTTAGCAGATGTCTCTACATCTAATAAAGTGGCTTTAACTTTTACGTAAAACTTTAACGTTTACAGCAGGTGACGCTGTAACCATGGAGACGGTGGTCTCTATGACTGCTAGCTTGAAGAAAATGTCGTCGATACAGGAAGAAATCTTTAAGTTTGTGCTGTCTGGAGACTTGGAGGCCTTGAAGCAGCTTCTAGCAGGAGTGGAGGAATCAGAAGAGTCTCGGGAACAGAACTTGTTCGGTCAAAAGGACGAAGTGGGCAGAAACGCCCTGATGACGGCCAGCATGTTGGGACGGAGCGACCTCGTCAGGGAGCTGGTCGCACACGGAGCCCCGGTGAACGATCAGACCGTCAGGGGTGAGTCCAGAGCAGGCAGGTCGCTGGTTAACGGAGGGATTAGGGGTTAAGTTCAGGTTCATGGCAGATATTTAGGCCTGTCATAGCCAGAAAAGGCGCGGGTTGTTGTGAAGCCACATTTCTACTAATCTTGCTTTTCACTGACTCTTCGTATGCCTGATAATACTTAGACAATTTGTGGAGCTAGTTTTGTAGCTCACAGACACTAGCAAATAATAACACCACCTATGCAGAGAGTACTATTTAGGTGGAACCAACCTTTAAAACAGTAAATACTCGGGGAGAACACTGCATTTTGAGCAGAGTACACCTTTAAATCCATAATTCATTATTATAAAGTACTGTTTTTGTGGAATAAATCTTTGAAACTAATAGTACTTGGATAGAAAGTAGTATTTTGGGTGGAATAAAACCTTAAAATCACGTCTTTAATAAGGAAGTATTATTTGGGTGGAATCAGCCTTTAAAATAGCCTTTAAATCTGTAGGTACTGTGGCATAGAGAGAAGTAGCTGGAGTGGGCTAAAACATTAAAAGCAGTATAATCATAACTTTTTAGTTCAAAAAACACAATTTGGGTGTAGTAAACCTTTAAAACCAGAACTCTTATGTTTGAAAATACTATTATGGTGGAAAAAAACCTGGTGAAACATTAACTGTTTAGTTAGAAATTACTATTGAGATGGAAAAATCTTCTAAAACTATAAGTACTTAGACAGAATTGTTATTCTTACTGTATTTTGGATGGAAATAAAACTTTCAAACAAACAAAACACCAAACAAGGGACCTAGAAGAGTGGTCCTGAAAATACTTCATCCTCTGCTACAGACACATAATATTTGGGTTCTCTGGCAACACACAGTGGTTTAGTGAATAAGCTGGAATCCACACAGTCTTGGACCAGCACCACGGCTCACAGCAGGTTGTTTGCTGATCACAAGCCCCTCTTTTTGATCCTGTTTGTTTTGCAGGTTTTTCAGCGCTGCACCTCACTGCCTGTTGGGGCCGCGTGGACACGGCGAGGACTCTGCTGGAGCTTGGAGCTGATCTCAAGGCTGAGACCTTCAAAGGAGAGACACCTGTAGATCTGTCCAGGATCTACGCCAAGACAGACTGTATAGACTGTCTCATCCTGGCTGGTATGTTGAGCTGATGTGATGCTGGTATTTTAGCAGCACGAACTAGCACACATGTATAACCTTAACATGTGTTTGTCTCTGCACAGACGCCAAACAGGACTTGATGTCTTATGTAAACCATATTAAGGACATGATCAACAAGTCTGACAGGGAACTGACAAAGAAGGAAAAGGTGACACGTTTCTTTACATGAGGATTCAACAAATTACTGACACTGAAGTTAAAAATTCAATATAGTTGTTTTAATAAATGATTGCCAACCAGCGTGAAGAACATCCTTGGTAACCCTAGTAGGTGGATATTTATTATGAGAGGTGCCTACTAAATGTAGTTTATGTAATGGAGGTAATTCTATAACAACTTAGCCAACCCTGCCAGTTCACATCATGGAAGGCCTGGAGCCTATCCCAGCTGACTCAGGGTGAAGGCAGGGGACACCTGGACAAGTTGCCAGTCTATCGCAGGGCTTAGTTTTTAAATTGGTAACAATAAAGAATTTTCTGCTCAAATAAAGAATGTTCACTTTTCAGAGATTAATAGCTTTCTTTAAACCACACTTGATTCTGTGCCTAATTTATATAGTTCATGTATACAAGTTAACTGGTCGAGTATCAAATATGACACTGAATGTAACATTACAGCCAGTGAGACTTGTGAAAACTTAGCTTTTAAAAAAAATAAATAAATAAAAAAAATTTTAAAAAATGAAATGAAAAAGGAGTGATATAACATTTTTTTTGTTTGGAAGAATTTAAAATGATCCTTCTTGCAAAAATAGAAATCGTTAAAATATCTTTAAAATTGTTTGTTCAGATTTTAAGCTGTATTTTTTTTTTTAAAGATCTGTGATAATTAGTTGTTTTTTTATGCCGGGCTAAATAACTTCAAGTTATAAAAGATATATGTTAACATTACACAGAATCAAAGTTTGTTTGCAATTTAAAAAAAAATACTCTTTGCTCTGTTAGAAAATTCTAACTGATGTGATTTATGTAAAACGTCAACACAGCAACTGTTAGGTGTACATTATCCTTCAGGATTTGTGGATGTTCAGCACAAATTTAAACCCAATCCAGTGAAAAATAAGTAGAAGGAATGAAAGAAACAATGAAACCTATAAAGTTTAGAGGTTTAACAGAATAAAATTATAAAATGTCATTATTACTCATCTGTTCCAAAGTCTTCTTCATGTATTTCTTGTGTCAATTTCTGCACAGAACATCTGCACATCTAATTTATCTGCAAAGTCAGACTGGATTCAGAATGTCAAAAACCAGACCGTTTCAGACTTCACAGCCCAAAGGAGAGATTTAGAAGATGCTCTCCAGCCTATTCTCAGCAAGCTGTCAGCTCACTGTAAGTATTCTGTGGCTGCAAATGCATTAGCTCTCCAGACTGTGTTTGTTGTATATTTTTTGTTTTGCTCATAAATGCAGCTATAGAAGCAGGAGTTTCTGGTTAGAGGAGATAACTGCCAATGTTTACTACTGCAATCAGAGTTTGTACTGAACTTCTTTTGTGATGTCAGTTTGGTTATTAAGCAGAATGTAAAAGCATGTTTTGGTGTTTCTGTACTAAGAAATCATCTTATTGCTTTTTGTAGCAGCTGAGATGCCTGTCAAGCAAGCAGGACAAGCCTGAAGCAGAGGAAGATCTGTGTAATGAAAGTATCTCAATAAATGTCTGACTCTTTCAGTGCTTAATCTCAGTGAGATTATATTTGCCAGCCTTCATACTATAAGTTGTTTCTATCTTTCCTCCAAAATACTCTGTGACTCCAGTAGCATTTTGGATTTTGATTGTCTATAACTTCTTCTGACATAAAAACATATCTCCATATAGGACTCTTGGTAAGATTTTTTTTAAGTGACAGTGGACCTGTTGCTGCATTCGTCACCACCATTTTGTATGTTGTTGTTGTACAATATCTTCAGTAGTTACACATGGCAGAACTATGTACATGAACCCTGTGCAGAAACGTATAAAATGCTGTGTTCGTATTAGTTCTCATCCTTCATGAACATTGTGCACTTCCAGAAGTTGCTGATTGAAGACGCATAGGCCAAAATTAAGATTCAAAGTGCTGAAAATATGAAAGATCCGTTTTGCTTTGTTACCACAAAGTGTTTCATAGCTCAGCTATTATTCAGGCTGGTTCACTTATAGGATTAATATGATGATTGCTTCTGAACACTTTAGCCTTTCTTTATAACTAGAAGTCTACAAATGGTCTGTTCTGATTTCATGTTTGGTATCTTGTGAAGTCTCCTCATTGGCCTGCTGCAATAAAACCAGAGTAGACACAATCTGTACCATCATGCACACTGATGTTTTATTGGAAATTCACAGCAGAAGCAGGATGAATGACTCAGAGAGCAGCTGTACATCAACCTGATTATCCAACCGACTGACAAGAGTGACCCTCAGCCTTTTAAAAGCACGGCACATCACCTTCCTATCAAGCATCCTGAAGGACACAGGTAGTCCTGTTTGTCCATGTACTAGTTTTTCTTAAAGTCTGTTGCATCTCATTTCCAAGCTGAATATTCCCTGTCCTTATCGCCCTCACATGCTGGTTAGAGGCAGATATGGTGGTCAGCTTAACCACTCAACTGCTGTGTATCTCTGCGTAATCGTCTCTCCACATTTAAAACATGACTGACACAGTATTAAAAACTTTCCTCCGTTGGCATAAAATGCAACTATTTAGTTTCATCAACTCTTAGTAGTTTAAGTCAAATGTTCTTGCGTTATTTGAATAAAAATGAGAATCCCCCGGGCCGAACCAAAAACCTACTTTTGCTTAATTAGTTCCATTAACCATGCAGAAGAAAAAATTACTAAATCATCAGCTTGAGATTGGTAGAAAACGGCCTGTGTTACACTCATAGGCATCCAGTGGAGTGAACACTGCTGAAATGTCTTCAGCTAAAACCTCGCAGCTCAATGTTGAACCTATGAGTCTGATCGCCATGATTCCAATAACTGCTGATATAAATACATCTGTTAAGATTGTGTCAAGTCGATGTTAACAATTTACGGCTAATTATTGTATCAAAACTTATCTATCAAATCTTACAAGAACTGAATGTTGTGAATTACTGAGGTCGCCATATTCGCTCCTCTATACTGACAACAGCTCAAGACATAAGCAACCTGTAAATAATACACTTTTTAAACAATAATGTTGAGATGTGTAGAGCAGAACACATGTACAGTCTGTAGTTGCACCAACAATCTGCACCCTTTAGATTCACATCTACACATTGAAAGCACTCCACTGATATAGCATTGAATTGCTTTGATATTAAATGACAGTTTTCTTGTCAAAACCTAATCCAGCCACAGCTTGGTTGGAGGTTTGGCAATCTCACTTGTAACTCCACAAACCCCCATTGTTTGTTGCAAATCTTAAGGCCACACTGATGCTGACACAAGAGGCATCACTTTACACTTAGACTTCTAACTCTGAACCCCCAAAGGAGCTCAACAAAACTATATTTTTTTAAATATACAAGGTGCGACAGCCCAACATCTCTGAACAGACTCCGATGTGTAAAGTGGTTCCCTTTAATCACCTTCTCTTACTCAAAACTGTTTTTCATACAGCACACGAGCAGAGGGCACTGTGATGCCATCTACATCTCTGTTGCAGAATTACCCTCAGCGTATTGGCCATCATTATCAAATTATCAAAGCATAACCGTTTACAAAGTAGATCAAAGGCACTCAAATCAAAGAACTGAAATTTAGCACGACAAGGCCCAACCTCTAATAGATGTACCAGCTCTGACTTTTAAAACTGAACTCTGTTTTCTGTTTCTAATGTCAACTCTACTCTCTCCAGATTGGGCCTTTAACCTCCTAACAGCTTCTCCAAGTCATTATGATCCACCAGGTATGGTGAGTCAGTGGCAGAACGTACTGTAACAACATTTAAACTCTACGCAGTTTTCATCTAAACAAAGCTAACAACACAAAGGATGCTGAGACAAACTGAACATGAAACAGGTCCATGGCATGAGCTCATACTTTGCAGGAGGTTTTCATGATTTACCATAGTTTCACAGCAAAAGAAAATTTGATTGGTTGTAGAACTGTCAGTCCAAACAGACTGATAGAGTTATTGCAGACAGAAAGATCTACAGTAGTCAGCAGGAATACAGGTTCATCGAGGCAGGGGCATTTTCATCGGGATGGAAACAGGAGGGCCAAAGGTTAATCAAAATACAAAACCATGCAAGTACACATACACCGTGTACAGTCGAGGATCCAACAAAACACAGCCTGGGTGGCAAGGCTTAGACAAGTCAATATTCCAGGTGTGGATTGTGCAGCAGAAATGGTTTGGGAAAAGAGACACACAAGTCCATCTCAGATTATTTTCATTCCAGGATTTTTTTTTTTTTAAAACCCACTCATGTTTTTAAAAGACTTGCATTTAGTTCTTTAGACATGAAACCACTGAAACGTAAAAGCGTTTTCTTCTGATGGTCGCTTTAAAGTGAAGAATGAGGCTGTACACATTGGATGACACTGTACACTGTTCTTAGCAGTGGTGAGCTCAGGCTGTTGTTCAGTCTGTAGTCTGGTTCAGCAAGACGAATTTACTAAGAAGAGCAACGATCTGAGCAACACGTTTGTGCTGGAGAGGAGGTGATGTTGTACCAGACTGGGAAGGTGTTTAACTCGTGACTTTTGTATCGACAGGATTCTGAGGAAGATAATTTTTTAAAAAAAGGAAAAAAAAGAGAAAAGAAATGACAACTTCAAGTTCTTCACATTCAAAATGATTCTGGCTGATTAAACCTCTACTCAGGATTCAGATTCAATACACACTTCTTCGCATTCCTTCTATTCCCAGCAGGCACACCTTAGAGTAAAGTTGTGCTATATTATTACAGGTGAGGAAAAACAATCTGTCACGGCATGAGAAAAAGGTTTCATCATCCAGAAGTCTAACAATAAAAAATGGGAAATAGACCACTTCTTCACATTTCCCTGTAACAATTTAATCTTTGTTCATTTGTGACCAAACTGTGTTTTTTTCTCCAGTTGAGCTGCAGGAAGCTTTAGTAAAACTAGTACCTTAGTAACTGATCTCATTCCAGGCGTTGCTGTGACTGTGGACGTTTTGTTTTTAAATCTACAAATAAATGACTGCTATCGAGCTGGACTATTATAAACACTCTTCGTAGTTCACTGGGATGAAACGCATGGTGCTTACTCTAAAAAGAATCAGTACACCATTTTCCATTCTGCTTTGAAAAATGGGGGCAAGGTCTTCTTCTTTTTTTCTGTTCGGAAGAATATTCACTCTCAGTCCAAAGCTGAAATGCTGAAGAAGGTGTAAAGAGAATTGTTGTGCTGTAACGCTGTTGGTGAACAGAGGGTTTGAAATGCAATCAAGTGGCCAGTAAAACTGTAATATTTCAGATGTTGTTCAGGCCACAGGGACTGTTTGTCAGTGCGAGTTTCTACGCAGTCTTAAATCCTGTTAGGTTATTATTTCACTAACTGAGATAAGCTCGTGCTGATGGTTAATCTACCGTCCCTGTCTGTGATCCATGGTGTTTCTTACTCATGTGATGAACATGTGGGCTTAAGACGATGAAAGCCAAATGTCCCTTCATGGGTTTCGCTGTCGTGTTCAGCACTGTGCTCCTCGGTTTACTATTTCACATTAGAGTCATCCTGTTGTCCAATGCGAGCTTGTGTTTGTTTGCGATTGTCCGAGGAGAGGAAGATGTACCGTTTCTCTGAGCTGCAAGAATGTATGTATGTAGAGGAGTGTGTATTCAGAGCCATTGTTCCAGTCTTTGCAGCTTCCAGTGGCAGCTGTGCTGGTTCCACAGTCCTGCTTCGTGGCCCATGTTGGTGACAGTAACTCCAGTCCATCTGATCGGTAGATGTTTGGTGTCCGATGCTGAAATTATGAAGGTCTGATTACGTTTATAGCCCACTCTCAGTTATAGAGCCGCCACGTGTCGCCTTTCCCAGAACCTGACCAAACTACCAATGGCTCTGTGTCGCTGTGTTTCAGTGCTTCTCAGGGTCCCAGGTTGGCAGTTTTTGCAGTATGGCCTTATGATCCACACCCACACTGGCCACCAGGCCTCCTTTGTTGATAGCAGTTCCACTGTAGTCGATGTCCTCTCCCTTTAGAGTCGTCATGTGGCCTCCTACAACCACATTGCACACGTATACATGATGCAGTCAATACAAACACATTTGTTAAAATGTCATTCAACAAATGGACTTAGTATTTCATGTTTATGGAAGGACAATGTATGATTGTCTGCCAAAGTTAGAACAGTCTGGTAATTTCACAAGAGGTTTCCATGTTTGTGCTTTTATCTTTGATTTTTAGCTCACATTTAATGTCAGATAGTGAGGAAAGAAGAAAAAAAAAGATCATGTGCCTTTTTATACAGTGTATTTAAACTTCTGGTTTCAACTGAATAAACTGACTTTTGCTTCATTAGTCATGAATACCTGATGTTACAGAAACACAATTATTATTTGAAACAAATGAAGTTTAAGGGGCTTTAAGAGGTTAAATGTCCTGAAAGTAGCCCAGTAAAAAACTACAGTTGCCTGTGAAGAGGAAAACCAGAACACAAGTTGAAACTGCAAAGAATGAAAAACAACAGTTGTTAAATTACCCTGTGCGTTCAATAGGGCTGCACCAGCGCAGATGTCCCATTTCTTAATGAAGGTGATGTGGACGTAAAGATCTGCCTGGTCTACAGAGCCTGCTTCAGTTGAAGGCATCTCCAACAGTGACAGCACCTTGTATCCTGAGAGAGAGAGAGAGAGAGAGACAGACACACAAAATGAGACAGTGGTCGACATGACTGGTTTGCTGATCAGCATTTTCCTACAAATTGAGATTATATTTTGCATACATTTCTTTGGTGTCTCTTAAAAAGAGGTTGTCATAGCAAGCTGCTCATCCCTGTACTTTACTTCTTTTTTGATGCAATGTGTAAAATTAAACAAACACTATTTTAATGCACTGGAAAACGTGTCTAAAGTGGATGGACAGGCAGTTTTTACATTTGTTTAAAATTTCAGTAAGTATTTGATATGTTACCAATTTAAACATCCACAGTTTATGATTGAAAAAAAAAAAGTTTCAAGCAAATTGGAGATGATTGAGCAGAAGGCCCCTAATGAACTGGGATAGAATAACCCTAACGCTAACACAGGGATGAATTTGAGGTCAATGCTAAAAAACAAAAAAACAAAAAACAAAAAAGGTGATAAAAAAGGTGAAAAAAAGTGCTCCATTATTTTATTCAGACAAAGAGAATGAAATAGAGTTTCTTGATTCATGTGTAAAAAATGTACAACAAGGCTCAGTTATGACTTGATATACTTGATACTGTAGCGAGAGATAAAGTCTTTCTAGCTTCATCTGCACATTAACATATATATGTACAATAATTCTCTTCTCACCTGCTCCACCTGCTTCTATGATAGATGTGCTGTTTCCAAAAGCCTCACGAACGTAACTTTGAACATGTCCAGAGTGGGAACGTGATACAATCACTTTTGAAGGAGGGGCGCTGTAGGATGATCGTGAATGCATATTTGATCCATGACCTACAAACGCCCAGGCTGAAGGAGTGATGAAAGGCAGACAGAGACAAAGTGTGAGAGAGGAGGAAGTACAAGTTTTTTGTATTTTGTAAACCAACAGTTACAGTTTATTTTCACTAAATGACAATGTGAGCAAAGGCCATGCGTAATCCTTTATGCAAAGTTAAAGGAACAAGACAAAAATGTCAAATGTATTGTAACAAGATCTGCAAAGGGAAAGACGATATTTAACCTTTGTGTCAGATTATTATTCAAAAGGGCATAGCTGATAAGCCACACACAGAGACTGACCATGTAAAATGAAAAATGTGGGGCCGTCTTGTTTCATAAAAAGCTGTGAAGTTGCAAAAGCACACAAACTTACCAGTGAAATCAGTGAACGGCTGGTGTATGACCCCAATGACTGGTTTACCTTCTACAGCCACACACACCATCGTGGTCACGTACTTCACCAGATTCTCTGTGGAGAGAAAAATGAGCAATCAGGAAGGGTGGGGACCAAAGATGGAAACAGATAGGAGACACAGCCAGAGGATAAAGAGATAAGCCCAAGAAAGCGGATACAAGATATGGGTGGCGACAGGGAACATGAAAGATGAATAGAAGAGAACATAGGTTAGAGAACTTTCAGTGTCTCTCAAACATGTGGAAATTATCATCTGTGCATAAGTCGTTAGAGATCTGGATTTATCGGATTCGCAAGTGAATCATTAACATAGAGTAGAAGAAAGTAGTGGTTTATCGTGTTTGCAGGTAACACTTGGTCCAGCAGGGCATTAAATAGGTACTTTCAAACTACCAGAAGATAGACCAGCACCACATCACTGAACACTTGCTACTGAGCCATGAGAACGTCATGATTTCATTATCAATTAATCATCATGTAAAATGTATTACAGTGGTGAAAGAAAGCCTTGTATTCTCACATCATCCAGTGACATCTACAATTTGCTGTTTTTGTGTCTCCAACAGTCGAACATCCAAAGATACTCAGGATACACTGATATGATACATAGTAAAACTGAAAATTAGCACAGTGGAATAGCAGGAAGCAATAAAAAAATAATCTTTAATCATCTTCTGTCAATCAAGTAATTAAAAAAAAAAATCGATTAAAATAGGCTCGTCTTATCTGTGCTTTCTTTTTTCTCATCACTCCTTGTCTCACAAAAAAGGACTTTAAACTAAAGTATGTCATTTATTCAACCTGCCATCGCCTACAGCTACTCAGTATGTGCTTACACTGTTTATTAATACTGTCGCAACTAGCTAGTACAGGATGCTGTTCACACCGACACTGCATCTGTGATAAAAGTGCATTAAAAAAAAGCCTGTATTTGCTCCATAAGCTAAATTAGAAAAAAATGACAATCTCGAGGAAAATGGCAATTTAGAAGCCAAGACTCCAGAAGAAAAGTCTAACAGCACAGAATGCATGATTTCATGCCATCATAGCAAGAACATCAGAAATAGGAGTTTTAATGAGTTTCAATGGGGACATTTTTTTCCTTAAGGTCATACGGATATTGCTGATTTTTTATGGAAGCTGAAGTTGAGATGCCAAAGTTTCCCCCAAAATACACACCTTTGCCAAATGTCATGTCGTACAGTCATCTTCAGATTTATTCAGTCTTTCATTAAAGAAAAGGCAACATTCACAATAGTCATTCAAATAACTAGAAACTGAAAAAAGTAATAATAAATTTTTAAAAGGGCTAAATTATAATTTAGTGAAATAAGACATTGCTTTTGAGTTGTGGTTGAAAAGAGTAATTTAAAAAAACAAACAAAACTGTCCTGGACAAATTAGAGCACTTTGCTGATGAGCAGTGGGCCAAAAAAATAAGGAAACACTTCATTCTTACATCATTTTGTTCTCAATAACTTAAACAGTGGAAAACAAAATGATTAACCCAGTGAGGGGGGGATTCACACACACTTACTTCCTAACTAGACCGATCCATATCCCAGAAGTTTAGTTGAATTTATGTTATACTGTGTTGATTCAGTGTTCCCTTAATTTTTTTGAGCAGTATACCTGTCAACAGGTGCAGAAGTCTGATTAAGAGTTACAGAAAACACTTGATGGCAGTGATTGGCTCAAAGGGTTGTTCAACAAAACATTAGTTTACGGGTCCCATCATGCTTGTTTGCTTGTTTTTTGTTTTGTTTTTAAAAATATACACATTTCTGTTAAACAACAATTCAAAAGCAATGTCATGATTTTCATTATTTTTTTCTTTATGATTACTTTTGTCAATTTCAACTTCTTTCAGTGACAGCTGTTTTCTTCCTACTTGAGGGTATGAATACATCTGAGGACGACTGAATGCATTAACTCAGTCAAGAATCAAACATGAAAAGGACAGAAATGTCTGTGTGGTCAAATGAGAGTTAAGAGGAGAAGCACAACAAGTGCCATGATGGCAGCGGGACATATTACTGTCCAATGTTTCTTCTGAAATGATCACAGAACTTGAGTTAAGTTCAGTAAAATGCCCACCAGTATATTCTTGTGTCGCATCTAGAGGATCGATCCACACAGTGAGGCTCTCAGGAGATATGTCCTTTCCCCCGTCGATCTTGTCCAGTATATCACCTGGAATGAGCCGGCTCCAGGTTATCGTTTTATCCACTGTGTCGTCATGTTCTTCGCTGTTCACCTAAAAATTGACAGAAACAGACAGGGTTGTGCGTCTTGCGCCTCAGGCTTATTGTACGTTTTTAACAGCGTGTGAACACGAAGGAGCTCCAGGAATGATGAAATCACTGCAGCCTTCCTCCAAGTCCATTTTTTAACATCATAGAGATCCTCTGGCTGTTTCATGATCTTTTCTAGTTAGTGACTGAACTCTCAGATTCGTGGAACTGGGTATGGTTGAGAGCTTTCATCTGCTAAACAAGTATTCTGAAACTTCACTGCAGTTTTCAGAAGAGACAACAACTGACCTCAAAAAAAGAACAAACACAGCAGCAAAACCATGCAGAGTAACAGAAATCTGAACACTGGTTGTGCTCACCTTAACTTCAGGGAATGTGTTCCGTAGTAGATTAAACATCTTCCTATGAGACCTCAGATCGCCCATCGTTAGAAGTTCACTGGCTCCCTCCCGTGTCTTGCCCTTTGACTTCTCATTCAGGCCATTTTCCTCACGTACCTTCTTTACCTGGGAGAAAATAAATACAACAAAAAAAAGCTCTCATTAAACTGGCGACGTTGTAAACATTCATATGTATATTCGTCTGTTCATGTGAAAGGTGCACAAAGTCTCTGTTATATCTTTATTCTTCATTTTAAATCTTATTGTACTTTTGTCTTCCTTGTCTCATTGCCTCAATGCCTCATTTGTATCCAGCTGTCATAAATAAACATTTTTGGTAAAGTAACTCTGAAAGCTGAAATGAAACTTTTCACAATACGACCTGCAGATTTTCCTACAAACATGGCAGCATTTAACAGATGGCGACCATTAAAGCAGCTCTGCAAACTGTTACAGTCTACTGGTAGTGAATCACTTGATGGTGGTTTTCAGTTAAATGCCAGTAATTATAAAAGGCTACCTCCCATTTGTTTGATGAACTGTTAAAAAAAGGTTACGTTTTTACCTCCTTGCCACCCAGAATCGCAGCCTCCACTGAGACAGCCAGCAGGTCCCTCAGATCCACCTTCCTCCTCTGTCTGCAGAGACAAAGGCATAGAGCAAGGATTTGTTAGACTCCGCATGAAAAAAAAGCTTTAACTTTTCTTCACGGCAAATGTGGTGAAACTACATCAACCTTTATCTGTGTTTTGGCAGTGAGTGAAAAGGCAGTTTGTGAAACTGTCCCTGGTATTCCTGAAAAGTAACTGATATTTTGTGCTCACATTCACTATCTTACAATCAAACCACTGTCATGTCAGAGGACCACAACGATTCAGTATTTCCTCATAGTAACAGCAACAACTTTCTGGCCTGCGGTGGTGTCGTTGCAAATCATTTTTCAAACTCCATTTTTTTTTGTTTAATACAAAAAAGCAAACATCTCAACTGCAGCTATACAAGCACTTTGCCTCCATAAAATCCAAAACTGGCAAAATTACAATTTATTCAAGGAACGATCTTAGCAGACTCAACGCTGTCCGGTTTGAGTAACTGACAGTCTTCAGCACTCAGTAAAACACACATTTTTCAGCCTGTATTGTGAGTTTGAAGTTCAATACTCAGCTCCACTCAGCAGCTGGGTGATTCAACACAAATATCCAACATGAAGTGAACTTCTCTTGACTTCAGATTACTATTGATATAATTGTTAGAGACTCTTGAGCAACTGCAGGGAATGTTTCACGTTTCCAGAATTATTTTAGAATAACCTTCATGCTAGACGTAGCTGTCTTTAGCAGGCTATTTATTAAGCTACACAGACCCCTCAGTGCTTCTTCCAAACATGTGGACTAAAAAATACACCATCTCTTGCACAATTAAGTTTTTTAACCTTAAATTGAGACTATTCCGAATTCAGGTAGCCAGATGCTTACATTCTTTGGATGGCCACCTATATATGTAATCCAGTATATTTAGCCCAGAAATGGCAGCAAAATGTAATAGATATTAAGGCTGTATTAGGAAAACAACTAAAAATGATGTTTTGTCTCATCATACCAACAGAAAAAATTACAAATAGGCACACTGTACAGTCTGTGTGTGACATATCAAGGTGGCCAAGTCTGGTGTGTACAATACAAATGGACATTTAAACCTGAGGCTGCACTAGAGGAATGTACATCAGAGGGAGAAACCACAACGGATGACGACGTTTGTCCGTCCCAAATCTTCTGATCAGTGTAGTGGACCACCTGACTGAAGAATCATCACACATGCATGCAGAGTATGATTTTGTGTATACCTCAATAAGCAAATTAAATGGAGTGATATCTGTATAATTTATGGATGTTCCCTATACGTCGGCATGTCTGCATCCCGTAACACCACCAGGAAGATGTGTGATTCTCCCAAACTCTTTCTGCAGTAGGACAACAAACCCAAACATCCATCCAGCATCATAAAGAAGCGATTTCAGTAACGAGTAAGAACAAGGAGTCCAGCTGCAGATGGTCTGACCCCAACAGAGGCTTGACCTCAACATCACAGCCTGAGAGTACATGAGGAGGCAGAAGATCCAGAGAAGAACTGTGGCTATTTTCAAAGAGGGCTGGAACAACACACATGCCTTGGAAAAGTGTGTGCCTAGTGGGAGGGGAACTGTTTTAAAGACC